ATGAAACTGGGAAAGCATTCTAATAAGAGTTGACTGTGATGAACTATTAATAGTGTTTTGATTTAAGCTTAATTGTTAAGATTTCTCTAAAGTTTGGGTATTTCTGTCCTTTCTCCCCCTACATTAAACCCTGTTATAGTTTATTTTATTGCTTGTAAGTGGGGGATTTTGTTCATTTTGGGACACCCAGCTGAAAATTATTTTCCCAGGTTTTTGTTTGGGGGCTTGAATCAAGACAATAGGAACTTGTATGAAATCCCTACACTTGAACCTGGCCCTTATTACTGCCTTCCAGTGCCTGGCAGAAGGGTTACACTTAAATGAAGCCAGATTACTTTTGTCTGATTCATACTCCATCTTTGATTGGGTAGGCTTGTCATTTCAGTCCCTGCTATTCCTAGAGAACCATATAGTCATGGGTTTGTCTGATGTCTTATAGCTTTCATATAGCGCTTTCTCACTGGATATCCAGTTGATATCCAGTTGTTTCTTCATTGTTCGCACCGAGTGAATATTCAAGCTTCCCTCTCTGGTCACGTACGGCTATTGCAGCAGATAAGTGGAGAAGTGTTCTGTGAAACCTGATGGACAAGTTTGCATGGGGCACTGGTCTTACAATGACTCTGTTGCAGTTTGCATCAAAACACAAAATACTGCTGACACCTTCTTATTTTAATACATTTCCACACAAGCCTCATAAGATTCCCTACCTTACACATGTAGCCATTGGCCAGAGAGGGAGTTGAGCTTCTATAAGTTCTCTGGAACAGAATTTAACCTACAGTTGATCTTGTATAATATAATTGCTTTCTATTTGGGGACCTAATTATACCAATTTTAGCTCTCTTACTAGTTGCCTCCTGCTTCCCAAAGGAAAGCTTTCTCTGAAGTCTGGTTTATTTTTAGATCCTTCCTCTCCAGCCATGTGCATTGCTATAATTTGTCCATAAATATTTTAAACAAATTTTCTCAGGTTGGCGTGAGTCTTTGGGTTTCCTACTAAAAGCTCTGCTCTGTATATGTTTAGTACTCTGCTAGAATTTCCTTCATAGAAGACTGTTCTCTGCCAACACAGAGGAGAAAACAGAAATGCATGAGGGACAGAGCCTTTCAGGTGTCCAAAACTGGAACCCCCTCAACTTAGAAGCAGTTAAATTCACTTTGGAAAATCCTGGCTTAGACTGATTGCTTTCCTCCAAGAACATCGATCCTTTGCATTAAATCCTCTGACTTATTCCTTGATTGGCCCAGTGACACAATAGGGATGGATCTGCCATGAGCAGACTTGTATAGGAGAAAAAAAGCTGTATTTAAAAGAGCAACCTAAACCCCTGCTGTATTTAAAAGGTATTCATAAAGAGTCCTTCTGCTTCAGAGACTCAAGGAAAGCCCCATCCAGGATGAGCTGTCAAGTCCAAGGATATGATGAGTGCTTTGAGAGAAATGAAAAGCAAGCTGCAGTTTGCACATGATGCAGTCAGTCCTGAGGAAGGCAGACAGTAACACTTAAAACAAGCCCTGGAGTGGCAGTGGCATGGCACCGCAACTATTCTGACTGAACTAATCATAGGAGCAACTTGACATTCATCACAAAGAGAGAACTGGCTTGGCCAGGCTGCCCCAGAATGTGAAGGTTGCTGTGTGTGAGCATGGGTGTGGAGGGAGCCGTAGGCTCCTTGGTGCCAGTGAGTCTGGGCAAAGAAGCAGTCAGCAAGGTAGCTTGCATTCCAGCAGGGCCCTACAGCTGTGGCAGAGCTGGCACAGGTTCTTCTTGGGGGGAGGGGGAAAGTAAAAAAGGAAGCAATTTTTATCCTGGGCCTGTGGAAGCCTTGGCGTACACGGAGGAAATTAGGGCTGTGCGAAGCTTCGGGTGGTGATTCGATTTGGAGGCGATTCAGCATAATTTGGTGTCTGAATCTCCGAATCCAAATTGAATCAGGGGACCAATTAAAAGATCCAAATTGATTCAAAGCACTCCGAATCTTCAGAAAAGATTCAGAGGGCTTTAATGATTTGGGAAGTCCACAGTGGCTGCAGCAGGGAGCTGCAGCTGGCTCCAAGCTGGTAAGTACTAGGGGTAGGTGAGGGGGGGCT